CAGTAGGAGTGAGTGGAGGCCTTGCTTTGTTGTGGGACAGAAGTATAAATATTTTGCAGATTTTTAGTAATTCTTTTTGCATTGAGGTGGAAATTGCAGAGCAGCAGGGGAATGGTTCTTTGTGGGTTATCTTGGTGTATGCTAGCACTGACAGAGGAGTTAGAATTCAACAATGGGATTTTCTTCAGCAAGCTAAACACAAATGGGGTTCTAATTGGATCATTGTTGGAGATTGGAATGCTATTCTTAACAATTCAGAGAAGTATGGGGGCATAGAGAAAGGGTCAGAAGAGCTTGTTGAATTCCAAGACTTTGTCAATATGATGGGGATGATTGAGATTCTGATGCAGGGACACCAATTCACATGGTGCAATAACAGAAGAGTGGAGGATTTCATAGAAGAGAAACTAGATAGAGTGTTTGGGCCTTTTGAGTGGAGTGTCTCTCATCCAAATGTGCAGGTAGCAAATTATTTTAAAACAGCCTCTGATCACAGATTATTACTTCTGAATGATGAAGGTGATGAGTCCAAAAGAAGGAAGCCTAGATTCCAGTTTGACAACAGATGGCTGAAGAGAGAGGGAGTGCAAGAGGTAGTGAAAGAAGCTTGGGGTTCTCTGTGCACAGGTACATACATGTTCAAAATTAAAGAGAGAATCAGAAAAACTAGAGTGGCCCTATTGAAATGGAGTCAGGCTTTCAAATCTGAGAATGCTTCAAAAATAGACAAACTGACTATGAACTTGGAGGAAATGACAGCTCTTGGTGGGGATAGAAATTGGGATTGTTGGGACAGAATCAAAAGAGAGTTAGAAGAGGCTCAGTGTTCTGAAGAGGAATTTTGGAGGCAGAAATCAAGAAATCAATGGCTTAAGGAGGGTGACAAAAATTCAAAATTTTTTCATGCCATTACTATGCAAAGGAGAAGAACCAATTCCATTAGCAAGCTTGTGATGGAAGGAGGGAGGGTGTGTGAGTCTCAATAGGATATTGAAGCAGCAGTTTGTTCTTTCTATGCTGATTTATTCTCATCCCAAGGCAGCCATGAAGAAGAGCAGATAATCCAGTATATTCCTCTTTCAATTTCTGATAGCATTAATCAGGATCTTATTGCTGAGGTGCATGAAGATGAGATTAAATTGGCCCTTTTTTGCCTCAATCCTGGCAAGGCTCCTGGGGAAGATGGTATGTCACCCCTCTTTTTTCAACATTTTTGGCCTATAATTAAGGAGGATCTCTGTGATGCTATTGTTAGTTTTTTTTTATTCTAAAACATTGTTGAAGAGCTGGAATCATACAATCATAAGCCTTATTTCTAAGTGCTTAAATCCTTCTACTCTTAGTGATTTCAGACCAATCAGCCTGTGCAATGTCTCTTATAAAATCATCTCCAAAATTTTAGCTTCCAGACTCAAGAATGTGTTGCACTTGTGTGTTAGTGAAAATCAATCTGCCTATATTCCAGGGAGGCAACTTCTTGACAATGTGATAATGGCACATGAGTTAATTCACTTCTTAAACAAGCATAGAACAGGCAAAAAAGGTTTTTTGGCCATTAAGCTTGACATGATGAAGGCATATGACAGGATAGAGTGGCACTGCATCTAATTTATTTTGCTGAAATTTGGTTTTCACTCCAAATTTGTTGATTGGATTGTGGCATGTGTGACTTCTACTATTTTCTCTTGTAACATTAATGGGAAAATCTATGGTTATTTTAAGGCTACCAGGGGCATCAGACAAGGGGATCCTCTCTCCCCGTATATCTTTATTTTGGTCTCTGGTCTTTTCTCTAGACTGATCTTGAAAGAGATTGATGCTAAAAACTTGTCTGGTGTGAGTATTGCTAGAGGAGGTGTTCAGCTGTCTCATTTGCTCTTTGCCGATGACTCACTGGTCTTCTGTGGTGCTGATGTCAAATCTGTGAGCTCTGTGCTTAGAATTCTTCATCTTTATCATTCATTTACTGGCCAGAAGGTGAATTTCAGGAAGTCCTCATTATTTTTTAGTAGGAATGTCGCAGCTAATCTGCAATTGCATATTTGTAATCATTTTGATGGTATCAAGGTTCAAAGATCCTCTAAATACCTGGGGTTGCCTCTGGGTATTGGAAGGTATAAAAAACAGACCTTTGAGTATATGGTGGAGGTTGTGAAGAGCAAAATTTCTAACTGGCATAATAGATTCTTATCTTTTGCTATTAAAGAGGTCCTTATGAAGGTCGTGCTCAATGCTCTTCCGGTTTTTTCCATGTCTTGCTTCTCTATTCCTATATTTGTTTGTCAGAAGATTGCTAGTCATTTTGCAAAGTTTTGGTGGTCCAGTGGGGATCAACAGGCATCTAAAATTCATTGGAAAGCTTGGAAGTTCATTACTTTGCCTAAAGAGTGGGGTGGACTTGGGTTTCATGATCTGAGGTTGTTTAATGATGCTCTCATTTTGAAGCAAGTATGGAAAATAGTAACCAATCCTAACCTGTTGGTCAGTAAGTTGCTCAAAAGTAAATACTTTCCCAACAGCAACATTTTTTAAGCTAAAAGATGCCGGAGTTCTTCTTGGCTTTGGAGTACTTGGATTGCTGTCAAGGATAAGCACAAGCAGTCCTTTAGAAGGGTTATTGGTGATGGTCTCTCTACAAGCATTTGGAAGGATCCTTGGCTGTCTACTACAAATACAGGTATTCCAACCCCCAAACATGGGATTTTAACTGACATTTTATGTGTTTGGGAGCTGTTGGAGGCAGGGGGATTGAGATGGAATGTGAATTTGATCAAAGATCTGTTTGTGGAAGAAGATTGTCAAGCCATTTTGAGTATTAGCTCTCTGAATCCCTCAAAGCCAGATCAGTGGTCTTGGAAAAGAAATGCAAAAGGAGAGTTCAAGGTGGCAAAAGCTTACTCTGATTTTGTGGAGGGCAAACTGAGAGATCTTGACATTGCTGAGGGTAGTAGCAGTGCCATACAGAGCAAAAAGACTAGACTGGGGAGCTGGAAATTGAACATCAAGAGCAAACTCAAACATTTTATTTGGAGAAGATACACTAACTCATTGCCAGTCAAGATCAATCTTCATAGAAGAGGTATGGAGGTGGATTGTATTTGTCAAAGTTGTGGGGCAGATGTGGAAACTGCTGAGCACGTGTTCTTTCACTGTGAGAAGGCACAACAGGTTTGGAAGTTATCTCCAGTGACTTGGGACTTCAGCCAGGCCAACACTGCAAATTTCAGAGTTTGGTGGGAAGAGGTATGCTCAGTTGATAGGAGAGAAATATTTGAGGCACGCATACAACTATCCACTTATATTTTGTAGTGGCTCTGGAAGGCCAGAAATTTGTGGATCTTCAAGCAAGAGAGGATGCCTGCTCAAGTAATTGTTAGAGTAGCAATGGCTGACTGGCAGAAGTTCTCTACTCGTGGCAGATGATGAATAAGTGTGTTTAGCTTGAGGGGGTCTAGGTACCTTATGGTTTCAGTGGGCACTTGAGCTAGCACAGATTCTCATTGTGATCATTGTTCATGGCTTTTTCTTTGTTCTGCAGGCTAGTTTGTAGTTGATTTAGTTTGTGATTTGGTCTGGTTTTCTTTGTCTGTTGTTTGTTTTTGGGTGCTTCTAGTTAGGACAACCCAAGGGTTCAGTATTGTGTTTCTGCCTTGGGATTGCCTTTCTTTTAGCTTATTAGTAGTTGTGGGTTTGATTCTAGGCCACCTAGCTATGTGGTTCTCCAGTGCTTGTAGCCTTGAGCAGTTTGCTCTTGGTTTGTATTCTCTGTACATTTGATGATATAAAACTTCCTATCGTTACGGAAAAAAAAAAATAAATAAATAAATAAAATAAAAAATAAAAAATTGGGTAACTTGTAACCAAACAAACACTCCTCCACTCATAAATATGCCTAAGCATGGCCAAAAAACCGGGCCGGGTCACGATCCGGCCCAGCCCGCCGGGCCACCGGGTTGGATTTCGACAACCCTGAACCGGCACGGACCTAAGGTCATGCCGGGTCCATGATCCAGCGGGCCGGGCCCGACCCGGGTTTGGACCCGGCCGCATGAAATAATTAAAAAAAAAAAAAGAAAAAATTCAAAAGCAATGTATTTTTCCGTGCCGACACAAACCCGGCCCGGCCCGCCGGGTCAAGGTCGAAAAAAACATGACCCTTGACCGGCCCATTTGAAATTCGTGTCGGGCCCAGACCAGTGGTCAACGGGTTTGACCGGGTTGGGTCCGTGTCGGTTCCGTGCCGGGTTCGGCCGGGTGACCCATGGCCATGTCTAAATATGCCATTGAAGTGTAAATCAAGCTCAAAGAGCAACAAATACGCCAAATGAAACATTTGTTCCAGAAATGTGGCATCATACTCAGCCAACTTATAGACTTAAAAAGGTTTCTCGATAGACATGTAAAAAAATGCATACTTCAACCCAGATGGCTAATATATCCTACACAAACATTCAACTCGAGAAATGAAAGGATAAAAGACCATCGAAAAATATCTATATTAGGGTACAAATAACTCATTTCCTCTAGAATTTAAGAGGTTACACAGCAAGTCGGAAAGATCTACGAGCTCCAGGCCTCGAGCTTCCTATAACTGTGAATAACATCCAACTCCATCACTGCATCTTAAACAGTATTGTGAGGTCCAAGGAAAGAAAGGTCATGTCATATTTCTCCAAATAGGAAAATAATATCAAGAAATGCCTTCTCATCCATAAACTCGCTTCCTTGAGTCAAGATAAGTACAATTCTGAGTAGTTCAGATAAGAATGAATCTCTTTGTTCTTTTTTCATTAGAAATATAAACAACATAAATACAAAAACAAATTAATTTCAAACAGCCAAGCGAAACCTTCACTTGAAGGATGAAAGTGTATTATTCAGTCAAATGAAATGGATACTGTATGTACAGTGCAATAGAATTTAGGGGTGTGAAACACACACACACACACACACACACATGCATAAAAACCAAAAGTCGAACAAAGTCTATTGTATTTTGGTCAGTGATGTGCACGTCTCAGGGAAGAAAAAAATCCACCAGATTTTTCCTTGCGTTTATCGTCTCCATCATCTCCAACCTGTTGAAAAGCCATAATTTGACATTCCTATGTAAGAAAAAAAACGGGAGTGAAAAAGAAAAATATCAATCAATATAAATATAAATAGACCATACCTCCTTGGCAATCTGCTGTAGCGTTTCCTTGACCTCAGAAAAGTCGGGTCTCAAAGCTGGATCTTGCTGCCAGCATCTCTCGAGCAGCTCAGCAAGCTTTGGAAGAGTGTGCTTCGGGATAGTTGGCCGAAGACCCTGATATTTTAGTGAATACAAGTCGGGACACATATTATATGAAAGAGAATAATCGACCTTTACTATGGAAATTCAAATGGAACCAACTACTTGATCACTTTATGATGTTTTTACCTTTTGGACCACACCAACCGCCGCTTGTAAAGGGGTCAAGTACTCGTATGGGATCTGACACACAGAAAAAAATTATAACTTAAAAAAATAAATAAATAAATAAATTTGCTCTAAAACTTGTTAATTCAGGGGGGGAGTTAAGAATACCTTTCCTGTCAGCAATTCCCACAATACAACCCCAAAACTAAAGACATCCGCCTTATGATCGTAGGGTTTATGCTCAATAACCTACAGAAGAACGAAAAGTGTTCAATATTGATGAACGCATATTGTTAACAGCTCACAAGCAGAAATTAGCAAACGTGACAGTTGTTGTGGAATGCATCCACCAGATAACTTCATAACCAAATCAGCAGCCTTCAACTTAAATGCTACAAAAAAAAAATGCTACTTTGACAGAAAAGAAAAGGAAAGAAATTAAAAAACCACTTTGACATAGTTCGCATGATTGTTGTGGAAATAACGTAATTGTTGATTTAAAGACGATCTGATGTGTGAAAAACAGGATATGACATGCATACATCTATCGACGTCTACGTCAACCCTTTTTGTGTGCAAGCATGGCTCGTGCGACAATGTAGATAAAAATCAAATTGTTAACAAAGAGCTTACCTCAGGAGCCATCCACCTATACGTTCCAGTCTCTGCAGTCATAACACCTGTTTGAGTTTTTACTCTGGCAACCCCAAAATCAGCAACCTTAACAACCTGAAATAAAAACTACAGAAATCATCGTAAAGCTAAAACAGAATGCCTACATAGCTGAAAACAGGCAAGTGAGGGTTCTTTGATGTAAGAAGACATTCTTATTGTTACCATCAAGGAAAACCCAACACATTTGAACTTTCATTTTCATCACAATCAAGGTAACTTCTCTTACAAAGAAAAAACTACAGTGTGATGGATCATGAAGCGATACAAGTCACATATAGCAGCTTAAGAAAACAAAAACCAAGTAATGCTGATGAACTGCTTGATGCTTACTTCATTTTCATCCATTAAAAGATTTGCAGCCTTCAAATCCCTGTGAATTATATTGTTTTGATGCAAGTAGTTCATGCCCTTTGATACATCAATTGCCACTTTAAGTAAGGCTGGAAGCTTAAAGGTACCCCTCTGTTTGTGTAGGTAGTCGTAAACACTCCCTCCAGACATGTATTCTGTGATTAAACAAACAGGAAAGGTTTACAGCCAATTGGCTATAACAGAAACTGAAAAAACAAAAAAAAAAAAGAAAGATATTGGTTTAAAATTTTCTTCTAAAATCTGAGGTCCATAGTTCATGCCATAGCGTCCTAGTAGAAACATACCTGTTACTATACACAAGTTAGGAGGTCTGGTGCATGCCCCTATGAACTGCACAACATTTTTGTGACGAACTTTTCTGCAAGTAGGTACAGAGTAATGAAAACAACAGAAAAACAAAAAAACGAAAAAAAAGAGAAAAAACTTGGCAATAATGTGTAAATTCGGGAACCTTCAGGAAAAAAAAAAATAAAAATAAAAAATAAAAAAAAAAACTAGCTATATACTCAACATAAGAGCCAGAAAGTAATTTCTAGGGGAAGTATAACAAGAGTATGCAGAATTGATTCCAGTTAACTGTAAATTCGCTCAGACCCATGTGGGCGGTTTTTCACCGTTGGATCAACACACACCCACATGGGTGTGTGTGAGATGTGTGAACCTATGGTGAAAACCAAAAGATCGCCGTTTCTGCAGTTAACTAAGGGTATCTGCGAAAGAGTAACAACTGAATGTTCATCAATAAAAAATAGCTATTACATATAAAAGTTTAAACCATCTGAAAAATAGTCAGGAGAAACTCCAAGCACCCAAGCATCCATCTACAGGTGGTGATAATAGAACCATGACAAACCTCATTATATATACTTCTTGGGCAAATTCCTTCTGCAGTTCCGTATTCAAGCGCTCTGTCTTGAGTATTTTAATTGCTACTTCCTGACTGCGATAAGTACCTTTGTATCTGGAATACAAATTTCAAGGAGAACATGAACTCACAGGAAACCGTAACCATAAAAGATAATATCTATAGTACTTACAGGTCACCATAAGATCCGGATGCTACTTTTGATTCAAATTTCAAGTATTGAGGATCAATTTCCCAAACATCAGTACCATCATTGGGTATTTTCAGATGATCTGATTCACATTTAATCTCTATTTGCTGAGGTTCATTGAGAGGCAAAGAATTTGGACTTGGCCAAGAATTTTTCTGTGAAAAAGAAGTTGTTGTCATAAGAAAACTCTTTTGATAATTTATACGAAGCAGATAACCTAGATCAGTAGAAACACCACAAATTTTTAATGAAGTATAAGCTTCATCTAGAAGCATAAACAATATATAAAAATAGTTCATGTGTAAAACAAAGCCAACTTTTGTAGGCAGACAAGTCACACTAAATTCACCCGACATAATAACGGGCCATATGCAACAGCCACAGTTAATTCCAAGGTGAAAAATACCTCAATCTTGAAAAGTTCTTTCTCCAGAGCATTCCGAAGTCGCTCAACCTCCTAGAAAGTATGACATTAAGGGTTAATAATAAAAAAAAAAAACACCTATAAAAGCTAGTATTGAAAGCTGCTGACAAAGAGACAATACATCTATAGAATAAAATAAGTATGGAATGTGATTTTACGAGTAATTCAAGCCTTTTAATCAAATAATAATAACAAGCATCTTTTTTGAAAGAAATCCAGTACACTGGTTGGTGTCAACAATTTTACCTTAATTCGTATCACAACAAGGGTTCTGAGAATGCTCATTATTTTCATAAAGTTCAGAATATTTTATTGACCAGAGTAGAACATAACATCTTCCATGAAAGAGCGAAGTACAGGTAAGAAAAATAAGTCAGAAGCAATAAACAACCATTACAAAGTGGACGGTAAAGGATGGTTCCCGATATTCAAGACAGAAAATGATAAAAAAAGATATATGCAGATACCTCAAATGGCCATCCATCAACGACAAAGACATCTAGAGAATAGCCATCCACGGTGGAAAAGGCATGTGCTTCCTGGATATTTAGCCCAACTTCAGCTAACAAAGAAGTCAACTGCAATGCACATAACAGTAGAGTTCATTCAGTATCTATTTTCTTTCTGACATAAATAAGTGCAGAGAAAATGCAAAATATTTCATATTGGATTGCTCACACCTGCTAATTCACCCAAAAAATATTAGTTTCAACTGGAAACCAAACAAATCCAATAAAAGAATATGACATACAAATTCACAATCATCCATCAAACCGACATAGAGAAGTTTAGGAATCAATTTACTCAAGAAAATATCATTTATGCATGGTCAGCACTATTACCTGACTGAGGAGCTTTGGCTTGTCATCAGTTGAAAAGGTAATCTCATGCATAGGCCTGCATCGACAGTTACTAGATTAGTAAATACAGGTATAATTCAATGTAACACAGAATGTTTCCATGAAACATTACATACTGTCAAATTTATTAATAGTATACAGGCATGTCGAATGAAATATACCCAGAATATGTATATATAATATTACTCATAGCAATACAATATATATATATACAGATATAGCTTAAATATTAAATAAGAAACGTGATAGATTACTCATTATGGTGAAATGCATTAAGGTTCTAACAACTTCATTCTATCCATTGAAGTTTAAATACACCACCCCTAGCAATAATAAGAACACAAATAGAACATCTCAATAGGGAATACCTAGCAGACTTGGTACCGGCATCAGTGGCACTATCTCCATCTTGAACTTCCGATTTGTTGACTTCAAGTGCAAGAGCTTCAAGATTAGGAGAAGAACCAAAGGCAGGTGGTGGATGGATGCTGATTTGCATAGAAAAAGAAAACAGAAGGTGGTGATGATTTGCATCACAAACGCAAAAAATGACTAACGGAAACCTAAATACATTGAAAACAACTAAAATTTAGTTTTTCAAAATGATTGTTACCTCCCTTTTCTTAGAGGACGTGAATGCACAGAATCTCCTGCATTCCCATCACGAACAGGTACAACCTGTACATGACAGTTTGTATTCAGTATATAGATGGCATCAAGAGAGACTAATTGAAAAATGATACAAATATACCAGGACAAAAGTCTGGTTGATCACAAATGATAGAACCAATTATCAAGAGGCACTAGCGACATGATTCAAATAACTATTCTAGCATAAATAACTGACATTTTGAGTTGGTAATAGGGTGAGTATAGAGCAACAACATATATAATCCAGAAATAAAAACACTGTGTTTTAACGTGGATGGATTATGGTTTAAGCTTATATAAAAACAACTCACCTGCACTAATCGAACTTCGAGAGCTGGCCTATTAGCAGGGTCACGTGCCAGATGCAGTAAACGTTTATGGGTAAGAACGTCTTCTGCCCTTTCAACATTCACATCCATAGCATACCTTCAATTCAGAATCATCAAAACCATCACCGTCAAGAGTCTTTGCAGACCAACTTGCATGAGGATCACTGTGTAGAAAAAATAAAACGATATTCCTTGCATGCACCTCATCATAAAACGGCCCGTCAACTGATTTCACCATTTACATCATTGTACTCTGATTAAATCGAAATTGGGTACAATTATCACAAGAGCACAATGAAACCCCCAGAAATTGAACAAATAACACAGACGGCAGTTCTCAAAATTAACCAACCTGATCATCCAATTTCAGGAATCAAGCAAAGAAAAAAATAATCCCACCCCATTTCCAAACCATAAAAATGCAAAACAGAAAGGAGAATCAAGCCGGAAAAGTCCATCGCAAAATAGATTGAATTGAACAAACTTATATAACATGATTTAGGTCGTAAAAAAAGAGTAGATTGCAGCTAAGGTAAACCTTGCAGGAAGGCGATTGAAATGGGCCCAAAGCTGATCATCGAAAGACGGCTCCTGTGCCTCTGGATGTTCGGACTCCTTCAGCCGCCGCAGAACCTCATTGTAAACCTCCACCTTCTTCCGCTGCTGCCTGCTCTTCCCGGAAGATTCAACCACCCTACTCCCACAGCTCTCGTTATCCTCAATCACCATTCGAGTTCGAGATTCTCAACGACACCACAAAATTCCCCACGATTACAACCGCCAGCGGCTTGATCTCCTCTAAATACCAGCCAATTGGGATTCTCAATTCAATGTGGAGTAAAAAAATCTCATCGGAAAACAGATTGAGTGAGCTCAAATTTTGCGACAAAAAAAAAAAAAGTGAAATTTACCGGGTCGCGAATAAGATTATACAGGGGAAGCAAATTACAGAGATCACAGCAGTGAGGCCGGCGTTTCTGATGGAGGATTTGGGCTCTGAATTGGATTCATCCTCTCATAATCCATTTTTATCCTCTTTCCTTTCTCTCCGCCTCTAACATCGGAAAAGTTGTTTCTCTCTAACTAAAATAGGAAATGGTTCGTGTGTATATATACACAAAGTGTGTTCCATAAGAATAATGTTTTTTTGTACTTGTACCACTTGATTTACATTATGTATCCATTTATCCTTATTGAATAATTTATATGTTCCCATTTACTCTTAATAATTTAAAGAGTAATGTTATAGGTCCATAATGTTGTACATAGAAGTGTACATAACACTCATATTGAGTAGGACCCACTAAAATTATAAAATCAAGTGGACTTCACTCATGTGAGTGTTATGTACATCTTTATGTACATGTAGCATTTTTCTAATTTAAATTATTTATTAAGTGTAAATGGGTACATGTACCCTTTGGATGTAAACCAAATCGTACACCAAGAGTTACATGTAGCATGATTGGATAAATCCACCCATAAATTGAAAGATGATAAGTTAATTTATAATATATCTTGATTTCAAACTTATGATTGATTGATTTTATAACTTGATTTTCATGAGATAAATTCAATTATATAATATAATAATAAAAAAAAAAAGTTCACTCCACAAATAAAGATTATTTGAATATAAAACTTATAATAATTAAAGAAATAAATATTTGAATTCAGGTTTAGTGAATTTGCATTTCTAGTGCCTGGTGGAGGTGGTGGGGTGGCTGCCAAAATCACTTTTTGGTGGGGTACTTTTCTTTGTTTTGTATTTGTTGATAAAACTGCTTTGGTTTGGATTTGTTTAATAAGTGTGACTTTTTTTTTTATCAAATTTTAATTTGTTCAAATCAAATGGTTCAATAAATTAATTAAAAAAAATAATGTTGATGGTTGTTGCTATAACTTTTATACTTTTATTTATATTATATTTAAAATATGATATTCGAGTATGAAAATATTTATATATATTAAAATAGTATGTCGACGCACAATTAAACCAAGCGGGGCTTATTTGACTACAGAGAACTTATAAGCTAACCAAATAAGATATAAGATGTTGTATTTTGTCTACTAAAAGATAGCCAAAAGTATTTTGGATGTTACTAACTCAAATATTTGTCTTGAAAAAAAAAAAATGATATCATCTTTTTAAAATGAGTTTCATAAGGTCATAATTTGTATTTGAGCAAAAATGACAATTATGTTTAATTGGAATAACTCAATCCATTCCATTCATTTTGAGCATTTAAAAAAAAAAAAAAATGAAAGTTTATTGAGTAACAACATGGCCGTGGCCCTTGCGGGGCCGCCAAATGTCACAATAATATATAAAATAGATGGATGATAAGATCTAAATCCAGTTTAATTGTTGGCTGAGGTGGATTTGGTTGGCAATTTTCTCTTGTTATTCAATTTAATTAAATTACAAAATCAGTAATTGGCTAATTAATTACTACTACTCGATCGTGGGGATTTTTCCACACATCCATATATAACAATTAAATTTTTTATTTTATTTTTTCAATTCAAGATCAAAATTCTATGATTATGAGTCTCAAATGTTTATGTGTTCGACTCGTCAACATATGTCAATCATTCAACAGTGCAGAATTCAAATTGAAATATCCAGTATGAGATATGAAATATTGTAATAATTATTATAATATGCATGAAAAAATATGCAAAAAAATAGTACTAATTATAAGAATATAGTTTCTTCCGACGACTCAAAACACATTAGGATGGAGCCATCAAAACCTAAATCAAAATTTTATAGCCTACATCATTGTAATCTCTATTTAACTTATTTATTCATTTATGGTGATATTGGATTTTCATGAATCAAACGTGAAATATAGATGAATGTAAAAGACAAAACCATATTGTGTTTTTGTTTGTTTGTTTAGTTATTTTTAAGATGTAACATGTGAGGTGGAGAGTGACAATTGAGATAAGAAGATCACATTTCCAACTTTGTTGGGTTGGAAAGGAAAGATGAAAGCAACATTAATTTGTGACATTTTTATTCGTAGATATTTTGAGTTCAATTTTCTGCAACATTTTTCGATTTTTTTTTTTTGTTTTTTATTTCGTTTTTATTGTGAACCATACAGCTCCATTAATGACTGAAAATAATATTTCAAATATAAATCAGTTCGAGTACCAAATGTTAGGGGCGAGCCACGGTGCGTAACTAGATGAACCAAAGAGCGAATTTATAAAATATACCTCAATCTTATTTATGAGTATATTGTTAAGTAATATCTGATTAGCTTATAAATTTTCTTTATACAATTGAGCTTGGTTTTGTATGATGAGTATTTTGTTTATCTCATTTAGATAGTTTTTCAAATAAGTTCATTGAAATTTTTACTTCAGCTGACTTATCAAGTTAATTTTAATTACCAAATAGTCAAATACATTTATCATATCAATAATCTTTTCAAAAAACATAAACTATCACTGTAAAATCAAAATTCAGTTAATTTCGAGCTCGAGCTATTATAATTTTTATGGCCAATGCTCGACTCGGTTCGGCTCGTTTGCAATCCTAAGCTAAGTCTAAAGAGGAGGTTGACGGGGTGGGATTTGCTATTAAATATAATATATGGGCCAAACATATTTAAATCCTTAATGAAATCCCAACGTGTTTGTTATGCTTAATTGGTTACGAACTATACAATGACAATCAGGTTTCAAGAATATTTTATACGGTAATTTGATTTTTTGTCTATATTATCCAAATTAATCTAATTAATCACAATTAAGGCTGTAGCTAGCTGCAAAATGAATACAATGGTCAATAATTTACTGCTCTAAGCATGAAAATCATGCCTCTTTATACAATTTTCAATTATTTAGTATGACTATTTAACCAGTAAATCTGTATAACCTATAATTGCTTAATGATGAAATATATTAATCATGTTTGAAGTTATTTTATCTTTAACTAATTATACCCCATTATTTGACAGCTTAGCGTTGACCTCAATTTAGCAGCGAGGAGGGTCAGAATAAAAAAATATAATCTATATATGTTGAAAGAGGTCGATGAAATAATATAAAATAGTAATTTTGACTTTGTACTTAAATAGGTTGACTTACTATTAAATGAAATATTATAAATATTACTTTAATATTTATATAAATAAAAATCAAATTATTCATACCTGCTATAAATCGTGCAATTTGATTAATAACATGTCTTTCTATATAAATAATGTGGCAGTCATTTTGAAAAATATTTTGTGATGATTATCACAATAAAAACACGATTCTTCATATTAATTATGAATCACTATGACTTCTTACTTTTTTGGTAACCAACCATACAACATGTCTTAAAAAAATATATATTAAATAGGTTTTTTGAGAAAATATTATTTGAATATGCACGATAAAATTGTAAATATAACTAAAAAATAAAAAATTGAAAATCACTTATGAAAGTTTTATTTTGATATTTATCGCAACGTGACATGAGAATCTTATTTATCAACATTAATAACAAATTACAATAATTTTTATTCACTTGGTGACCAACCATATACCAAAATATTTTTTATCATATCTTAAAAAAAAACTATTTAATCAAGAGGATTAGTTTATTAGAATTCTTTGATATATCAATAACTCAACCAGTTTGTTTTTTCAAAACTTGTAAATCTCAATTTTTTACAATATCAAAATAAATTTAATTATTTATTGTCAATAACAAATAATTTTTTATCCTTAATAACAAATCATGTGTTCTTCTATTTTGTTGGGCATCTAGCGCAATAAAAGTAGACTGAAATATGCGTGACAACACTACAAAATAAAAGTATAAATAAGTTTAGAATCAATTGCAAAAATCTTATTGATATAACTAGCGCAATATTACAATAGAGTTGATATCTCGAAATTAATAACAAATCCTTCCGATTTTTTATTTATTGGTAACGAGCCATACAAAAATTCATCTATTCAAGGAGTTCAAAATTGTCATTTGATTTTATGAATAACTGTATTGAATCAAATTCCTTTTTTTTTAAAAAAAAAAAAATTGTGATTCATAATATCATAACAAATGTCAAATAAATTAATAGATTAGACACATTTTTTGAACCAAATTTTTATGTGTTGGTTATAATATTTGGCATAATTTTTCAATTTTAGCACAACTTATTTAGAAATCGACATAAAATATTGTATAAGGTATGAGAGAGAGAGAGGTTATGTGAGTATTATTTGTTGATAATGTTTGTATATATTTGTTATCCTTAATTATAAAATAAAATTTTGAAATGACAACTATTAACGAGTGATAAACATATAAATCATAAATTAAATCATTATATATCATAAAATAATAAAAAATATTAATATTCATAACTATTTTTATACTAATTAACATTCTTTCATTGGGTTAATACATGCAGTTTATAATTATTGTCTCGTGTATCATAAGAGGTACGTACTAGTTCTTAATATAACCTTGTGACCGGACCTAATAGTTAGCATTTAAGTAATATATCCAAATCATCCAACTTAACGTATAAAGTATAAACCTTGCGGTAATGATTGAATAATAAGCAAATTATACTCGTGACGATGTTGTGTTCTTAATAGTAAAAAAAAAAAAAATAGCTACAAAATTTAAATAAATTTAAAATTTTGTGACCATGTGATGTGGGACATAACATAATCTTTTCATATCCATATTAACAAACATACTTATCCTTCATATT